CTGCTTTGAATGCCTTCTATGGCAGACAATTTTGATTTAGCAGACTTCCGACTGTGCATCAATGTCTCTCTTTTGAAACAAGGCGGGCTGTTCGATCGCCCTTGTGTCATGAATGAAGATGATTTTGTCAATCAAAGGGCAGTGATTCTCCTTCGATGCAAGAGAAGCACAAGAACCTGATGATGACGTACTGAGCGCAAGGGAAGAATTCATTGCCCCAGGCCGCATTCCGTTTCACCACTTTCAGGCTGACTCAGCCATCCTGAGATATGAACCGTGCCCTGTTTTGGTGGGGCTTGTTGTGGTTTTGTTTGTTGTTTGGTTTGGGGGGGGCTTGTTTGGTTGCTTCGTTTTCGGTTGTAGGCCGGTTCATTTCTCTTTCTTTTACTAGCTTAAGGTGACTTGTGCATAACCTGCACACACAGCGCCTGGACTCGTGCAAACAAAAAGAGGCGCTATGTGTGCAGAGGATGCACAAGTCAGCTTAGGCTAGAAAATGAGGGAGATACGAACCAAGCAGCAAAACCGGCAGAACAAACAACAGAACAAACAACCAGGGAGTACTTGCAATGGGAAGTGGACGAAAAGGTCATTAATTTCTTGCTGCCCACAAGTCATTCCCCTCATGAAGGGTTATTACTGTTTGCATGAATGTTAAGGCTCGTTCTCTGGAGTGTTCTCCTGCTTGGCTGCGCGTCGCAGCTGGGCAATGTTGGAGGCACAACACTCGGAACAGAATGCAAGGAGGCCATATTGCCAGAACTGGGAATTGGCATACAGCGCCAAGTGTGCGTTCTTGATAAAGGTGCACTGCGGATGACCCTGCGCCAGGAAGGCAAACAGTTCAGCTAGCGGCGCAGCTAGTGCATTGCTGACCAGTAGCAGATTCCCTTTTAGTTCTGTGTGCACTTCGTTCGGGATGTGCCCGAAGTAGGCACCTCGCAGCTCCTTCTCAGCGACCCGTCTCCAAAGGGCTGATGCGGATGTATCTGTTCACTTGTTTATAAGAAATGCACAGCCTGGCCATTGGCCATTCGCGGTAGGTCGCTGTACACATGCATCGGTGGCTGCACAGTACCTTGCACCGTGGCCGCTTGGGCAGCTGCTTGATGGCTACAAATGGCGTGCATGGCCACTTGCTCTGCCGCCAAGCCTAGATCTGTTGCAGCAGTGTCCCCTTGTTCTGTTTCTTGGTGCTCGGTGGCTAGATCAATTTCTGCAGGCTGCTTTTTGCTCCCGTGCTCTAGAGGGGCTGTATGATGGCGTTTGGAAGGGCAGTGCATCGTCCTGGATGCGTTCGGCCTATGGGAACAGGAGGGGCGATCGCTGAGGCTTTCACCCTCTGCCTCGTGGGCAGTAGCTGCCCATTTGGGAATCACCGTCAGCAACACTTTGAGAGCTGGGCAACGTGGCTTCTTCTGCGAGTTCTGGTGTGGCGCTGCTAACCGACACTACTTCACCAGCTTCGCCAGATGCCATGGTGACATCTGTTGCCACCGGTAAGGGCAGAGAGGCATCTTGGTGGATCAGCCTCCTCTGTTTCCGCATCCGATACAGCCAGGACCGTGGTGCTGGCAGGTTGGCTGGGCCAGTAGCACCCTTGGATCAAGAGTTCTACCTCCAGCGGCAGGACGAGGTCCGAGCCAGGTGCATTTAGCACAGGCTCCTGGCGCCACGCATTACAGAAATAGATTTTGTGCAGAGCCTCAAAAAAAGTAGGCCTGCGCCTTTCTGCCTGACCAGCGCTTTGCTGGGGCTGATATCTCTGGGAGCACCCTACGCTGCACCGACGTCCCGGGTTTTGCTTTTGTGGAGCAGCTGCAGTGGCTGAGAATCTCCCCCCCTCTCCGATATGCCCCGCCGCTTCAGGTTTCCATTCACGAGTCGGTGGCCTGCTTGAATCCGGCTCCACCGTCTGTTGGTGTGCAGAGAGATGGAAGGTCTTGGACGTCAAGTCTTAAGATATTCCAGTTCGACCCGGTGCCCAGAGAGACATTGCTTGCTATGAAACTTTGGCCCAAGGGTTTCTTGTTCTCTTGTGTTTAGCGATTTGCTGAACAGTTTGTATCCTACTGCATTTTCAGAGCCTGAGTGATAACATTGCTGCCGAAGCAACCGGCAATAAGCTCTTCACGACGTCCGCTCCGCTCTGTTATTTTGTTGAGCATTTAGCTTCCATTTTAGTTTCCGAACGAATCAGCTGCGATATCTCACACATTCCGGGTCCCTTGAATGTTGATGCAGATCTCCTCAGTAGATGGGATCTTGAATCAGAACTCCCCGCCAAGTTCGCCTCTGCACATAGGCATCGCATGAGCCTGCCAGGCTTCTTTCGGTTTCACCGCTCGGTAGCGGTTCACCCCTCTAGCTTCCTGCTGCAGTGGCCAATCGGCCAGCCATGAATTCATTTTGAGTGCCAACGTCCACTCAGAGCGTCCTGGGATTGGTTTACCGAGTGTTGTTGGAAGAGCTTTTGGTGTAACATCCCAACAACTCTCGACGAATTCTGGCAGTGAAAATGAAGTTAGCGCGTTAGAGCTGGAGAGAAGCTGTGGATGTCTTTATTGAACATTGTAAGTATTTCTAGAACGTTGGTAGTGATCTTTCACGTGATGTTTTAGGTACTTACATGTTCTGTGTGCCACTTTGGTTCTAGGATACGTCAATGTTCAGCCCCTCCCTCCTCTACCCTCTATAGCTTCTCTCTATTTAGTCACCACAGGTCACAACGACCGCAGGCGTGATGCTGATCCATTCAGCGCTGAGCCCGACACATCTCAAGGATGTGAACGCGTCACGGTCAAAACGACCGAGGGATGTTCCAAGGTGTAACATCCCAACAACTCTCGACGAATTCTGGCAGTGAAAATGAAGTTAGCGCGTTAGAGCTGGAGAGAAGCTGTGGAAGTTTTTATTGAACATTGTAAGTATCTCTAGAACCCGGCTGCTCGTGGGAATGCCAGATCTGAATGCGCTTTCTGCGCCGGACGCACAGTCTCGAACAACTGACGGAGCACGGCAGAGGATTAGAGTCTTTTGGTGAACACCCACCTGGCTGTGAGAATCTGACACGATGCTCAACGGCAATGTTTTGTTTTTTTTGAAAAGTAAAACGGGAGGGATGTCGAACCTGGTCACCTTCGAGCATCACACCTCGATGCTCTTGCAAGAAGCGCCTCCTTCCAGCAATGCTGCTGGCACAGTCAGCCAGCTGCACACAAAAAAAGGGTTTGCCCTTCTCTCGGCTTCGCTGTGGTGTGGCTTCGAGAAAGTGTTTCGTTTTTCCAGAATGGTGACAGTGTGCTGCCACTTTTCTTGTTTCCAGCATGTGACTGGGTGATGGAAACCTGGCTCCAGAAAGGGAAGAAAAATCGATGGACCTTGATGTGGTTCTCAACATGGTTGTTCAGAGGCCACTGATGCATGGGGTCTACAAGGTCCACGACGGCATGCGCCTGAAAATCTTCTGGCAACTGACGCAGCCTCTTGCGAACCACAGCAGCCGATGTGCATTGTCCGCCGGAACAAGAATCTGGAAGTCCGCAGGTGACATCATCAATGCTCGAATTCCAGGCGTTGTGCTGGGTCATGTCGATCTCACTGGCAGACAGGCTCAGCAATCTGACACTCACAAGCAATCAATTGCACGGGCGCTGGCCTGCGATCGTGGATGTGATGCATGTGTTCAGGCAAGAGTCGAACGCAGGCACGACGACGGAAGGACGAGGAGTCGAGCACTTGTGGTGCATGTGTTGATCCCAGAAGTGGCGAAAAAAAGGCTCTGGTTCATGATCCAGAGAGGTTATTGAAGAGGCACTTGAAGAGGTGGGTGGTTTCAGGTGGGGGACGAGAACATTGACGTCGACATTTGCATGTGTGCCGCTGCCACCATATGGCCAAAGTGGACAATGATCTGTGACAAGCATGCTTGTCAGCAGCAGAGTGACCGGCCACACAAGGTGTGACTTTGCAAACAAAAGACAAACTTGAACCCAGGTTGCAGAGCCCCAAAAGGTGCCACGCCCAATGCCACACCAGTCCTGGCCGCGGAGGCCGCTTGAAAGACTTGGAGGCTCGTCATCCCATGCAGCTCCGAACAGGGTGAGGATGCCAAACCTTCACTGATCAGCTCATGAGCTCAAAACCACATTTTGCTGATGCAAAATTCAATTTGTTTGCTAGCCTCTGTGTTCTGGGCCCGGAGGTTCTTTCTTGACGCTTGGTCGAGGCACACCTTCACCAGTTCGGAGAATGGTGTGGGATGTTGTGCAGTCAACAGTTCTGGCAGTTTTGAAGTGTCCTTTTTGGTTAAAAAATTGACTTGCTTTGTCAAATGTTTTTCAACTCAACAGTCCGAGGCTTTGGCCATGTTTTGTGACCTTTGGAAGAATGCTGAAAGCCGAATACCGACCTTTTGACTCAAACGGGGGACTGTGAAAAGGTTTGCTGCGGCGTCTGTGTGTTTTCATAATGAAAAAGATTGTGTTTGCTGGTGGGTCACCAATTACTGCGCAAAGGCTGGCAGGCATGGACATTAAGATTGACGTGGTGGCAAAAACTTTAGCAAGGGCTGCATCGGCGTCACTTCGAAGTGGGCAGCGAAGCATTCACACAACATTCGGCAGAACGGATATCAGACGTAACGCGACAAAGGATGTTTTTTCATGTGGGGCTTTGGTTGGCAAGTTGTTGCTGGGAATCCATCGAGTGCCTACCTTTTTGCACTCATCATTCGTTATTTGCCTGCCGTGAAAACATGTTCTGCTTCCAGCAGGTGCTCGCATTATGCATAGGTGTCAATCGCAACTGAGCCCATCAAGTGTTGCATGACCCCTGAAGTGACAACGGTTGATAGGAGTGCTGCTATGGGCCAACCAGTGCCACGCCCAGCTTGAAGGAATGTCGCACGAAGAATTCGCGAGCATGGGGCACTTGACCCCTCCATGTCAAACATCTTGAGCTACGAACTACATGAAAACTGAGCCGAACCCCCGTTCACGATTGAAAGCAAGAAAATTCACAGTTTTCAAATGATGAAAAACGGTAGGTTCACGTGTGCAAACGATGTCCCTTGTAGGGCAACATTTGCATTGTTTTTTAGCAACAAAATAGATTGCGTGACTGCCCTTCACAACCAGTTTCATAACACATGTTTTTTTGCAATGTTGTTTTCCAATTCTGCTGCTTGTTGCCTCAAGTGTCCTTAGCTGGAAGCATCCCAAATCTGGGATTCAATCCATGTATGTCTTGCATTGCTGGCGCATTGTCCGCGATTGACAGCTGGTCGCATCATCACATTGAGCGCTGGCTGCATGATCTTTTTGTTTCGGGGGCACTTTGGTGAATACATTTGCAATCAAGTCAGGACATTCTATACAGGATTTTGAAATGGTTTTCTGGTGTTCTGGTTTCTACGAAAAGCACATGCTAGGTGGATGCTTTAGCTATTGACTCGAAATTGTGTCCAATTTTGTCTTGGATAAATCAGGTTTTCTTTCTGCAATATTTCGTTGTAGTGACTTGGCGGCACTGGCCAAATTGCTGCAGGGGCTTTCCGGCAGGTTTTCCGGTTTGTCGACCGTACTGTAAGTGATGTTTGAAGACATGGGGGGAGTGAAGGCCTAGTTTGCACTCAGGAAACCTCACCATAGAATCACGATCGTTGAATTTTTGACTACTGTTGTCAGTTTGCTTGTGCGAGATCACGGCAAAGAGAGTAAAGACACACACGTACTTTTGATTTTGCCGATGTTGTGCCCAAGTGACTGCCAATGGTGCACTTTGCAAGGCTTTGGCACAAAGCTTGCCTCTCTCAGCATTGGGTTTGATTCTCCAGATTGATTTAGCTGCTTGACTACAAAGGGTACATGAAACTCAATCGTTGTGTGCACTTGGATTAAGCTGATAAGGTCCTGCGTTTCCCCGCCATGAATACGACTGGGTTGATTTGAAAACAGACACTAGATTCGGAATGAGGTGATTTGTGTTTAGCAATGCAGTTTGGGTTGAGTTGGGGTCTACAACAGAGTGACCACTTAAAAGCTAACGCGCTCAACTCTTGAGCATTTTTCACTTTGACTTGATTTAGGTTTCATGGTCCAAAGGAGGGTCCCCTTGATGCACGTGTATTGTACTGGCAGGGCTGGTACCAAGAAACTTTCAAAGTTCAAGAAGGTTCAACAGACCTTTGTGAAGTTCGCTGATTCTTAGTGGTTTGGTAGGATCCATTTTTGTCTCAAGTGTTGTGCCTTTGCCACCGTTCAAGAATCATTTGCTAATGCCCTGAAATGAGTGATCTTACAAGCACCTTCGATTGTGGACAACACGTGCCACCAATTGACCATTCTTAATCGTGATATCGTGCTTTCTGGATTCTGGACCTTGCCACATCAATGTCATCATTTGTGACATGTTGAACTCAAATCAAACCAAAAAGAATGCGCATATTTGAAACAATCACCCAAATTAATGGAACATAAGATGAAACATGTCAAAGAAAAGGATACCGAAAAGCATTGATAAACATTTTTTTAACACGATAATTGAATACCATTATCCAACGCAAATATCAATATCGAACATAATGAAAATAACGGAGGTAGCAACACCAACTCGAGCGCCCTGACATGCACATTGAGATATTCTCAGCCGATTTGTGTCCAACCAGTTTGTTGACAGCCGCCTCCAAGACATCTAGACTTGGACATTGTTAACAATTTGGGCATATTCGGTCCGATGTGCGAAAAAGTATGTTGGGACCAAAGAAAGGAAGGAATGAAGGAAAGAAGGCAAAAGAGACAGAGAAAGATAAGGAAAAAAGAGAAGGATAGAGAGAAAGAGGGAAAGAGAAAGAGGGCAAGAGCAAGAGGGAAAGAGAGAACCAGAGAAAGAGGGAACAGAGAAAGAGGGAACGAGAGAAAGAGAGAAAGAGAACGAGGGAAATAGAATGAGAGCAAGAGACAGAGAGAAAGAGAAAGAGAAAGAGAAAGAGAAAGAGAAAGAGAAAGAGAAAGAGAAAGAGAAAGAGGGGGAGAGAGTCATAAAGAGAAGAGAGAAAGCGAAAAGATAAAGAGCAAAAGAGAAGGAGAGAAAGAGAAGAAGAGAAAGAGAAAGAGGGAAAGAGAACGAGAGAAAGAGAAAGAGGGAAAGAGAAAGAGAGCAACAGAAGGAGAGAAAGAGAAGGAGAAAAAGATAAAGAGGGAAAGAGAAAGAGGGAGTGAGAAACATAAAGAGAGAAAGAGAGAGAGAGAGAGAGCGGGAGAGAACGAGTAAGAGGGAAAGAGAACGAGAGAAAGAGAAAGAGAAACAGAGAAAGAGAGAAAGAGAAAAATATAAAGAGAGAAAGAGAGAAAGAGAAAGAGGGAAAGAGAATCTTAAAGGGAAAAAGAAGAAGAGAAAAAGAGAAGGAGAGAAAGATACGGAGATAAAGAGAGACATAGAGAGAGATAGAATCATAAAGAGTGACAGAGAAAGAGAGAAAGAGAAGTCCAGAAGCAGAAAGAGGAAAAA